CTGTTGCTGCATCTGATGCTGATGGATGAGGCTGCTCTGAATCAATATGCTCTCCTGCAGGTTGGGCTGGGACTCTTCAAAGTTTTGGCCTAGGTAAGAGCCAGTAGCTGGTGAAGCAATGAGGGACTGGTCACTGGTCTCCCAAGCATCAGAGGAGCCTAGGCAGTACATGCCTTGTGAGACATAGGAATGAGGCCAACTGTCGTACTGTGTCTGAGCCATATGTTCTGCAGAAAGGAAAAGGAAGAGAAAGAGAGAGAGAGTGAATTGGGAAAGAACACAGTGCAAAAGTAGGAAAAGAAGAAAAAAGGGAAAGATAGGAGAGAGAATGAGAAAAGAACAGTGATATCTATGAAGAGAAAGACAGAAATAGGAAGACAGAGAGGAAGGCAGTTGATCAATGAGATTTTTCCTGAGAAGCAAAGATAACTGGGGCAGGCAGGGCACCACATAGCATGGCTATGCTAATTTCAATACTGAGCTATTTTCTAGAGGTAGCCAGAGTACTTCCACACTGTCCTATGTAGACATATGAAAGAAAACAAGGTACAATCTATGTAGGCATGATGTGTTTGGTAGGATGATGTGTTTGAGGGAAGGGGAGTGTGGTACTGTATATTAAGAATAGTATAGAGCTAGCAACATAAAAATCTTATCAAAAAGGATTCTTTGTGGGTAGAAATTCCATGCTCAAATAAAGAAACATAGTATTAGGACTGTACTATTGACCACTTGATCAGGAGGGCAAAGTTGATTCTTAACTAGGGTGCTGCAGCACCACAGGGTGCTGTGCGGCACCATACAATATTTGGACAGTTAGGTGTGCACACATTTACATAATTCACCAAAGAAACCAAAGATTTCAAGTAGGAATCTACAGTGTCAACGACATGCTGATCTTTTGTGGTTCTTTGCAACAGAAAACTTGTTCTATTATTTTCCTATAGTCAAAAAACAAGTGAAAATTAAGAGCTGGCATTTTCCAAGGGGTGCCTTAAGTCTAAAAAGCTTGAAAACTACTGCTGTAAAGTGTCTATTACTTGCCACTATTGGAGAAAAGATTCTGGGCAAGATGGACTGTTGATTTGACTCACTCGTCACTTCCTATATTCTCCTTTGCTTGTGTAAACTGGAAGAAGGGTGAAGTGCAGAACATGGATATACACGATTAACTCCAGGAGGCTCCAGGACACCCTGCTCCCCCCACATGTGCTCCGAGGCCCAAGAGAAGGTGCTTGAAGCATGGGTGGATCTAGGAGTTTGTTAAGGGGGCGCAGAACAGTGACCAATACTGCAGGAGTGACTGCCCCCCACACTCCCAGCCTCCCCTGCCCCCACCAAGGCAGACCATGCTGCAGGAGCAGCAGCCAGGGTGTTTTTTTAAGTCCCTCAACCAGGTAAGAATCTTCCTTCCTGCCCTCCCTTCCCCTCTGTGCACTGTGGCGTATCTCCTCCCCACCCATTCCCCCCCTCCCCTGCCTACTGCTGCTGGTACCCTTGCTGTCCCCAGCTATACCAGTGATGGAGATGGGTGGGAGGGAGGCTCCTGATCTGTTCCTGGCCCACTCTAGCTGGGCTGCATGTGAAGCTGGGGCTCCACCAGAGACTGCAGATGTGGCAGAAGTGGGTGAGTTCTCTTTTCACATGCCTACTCCCAGGCTAGTATGGAACATGGGGACCAGGCAGGGAGGAGGAACCCATTGCTAGTGATTCTGGCTAAACCTGCCTCCCTGTAGAGCCTGGCTGGAGGGATCGGGAGCATCTCTGGAGTCTCCTCCCTTCCCCTGCCTCTACCCCCAGGGAGAGACAGCAGCAGTAGTGGGTAGGGAGGCAGGGAAAGGGAA